ATGGTAATACCCTACTAAACCAAGAAAATTTCGGATCTCAGTAGCTGAAGACGGCCTGGGCCAACTCTGCATTGCTTAGATCTTCTTCGGATCTACCTTGATCCCCTCACTTGACACTACATGACCCAAAAACACCACTGAATCAAGCCAGAATTCAGACTTTGAAAATTTTGCATACAACTTCTTTTCTCTCAAGGTCTGAAGCACGACCCTCAGGTGCTGCTCATGATCCTCCCGGCCCCAGGAGTAACCAAGATGTCATAAATAAACATAATGATGAATGAGTCAAGATAGGGATGGAATACATTGTTCATCAAGTGCATGAATGTTGCTGGGGTGTTGGTTAGCCCAAATAACATCACAAGGAACTCGTAATGACCATACCGAGTCTTGAAGGCAGTCTTCGCAATATCCGGCTCCCGAATGTTCACTGATGATAGCCTGACCGCAAATCAATCTTTGAGAACACTATGACATCATGTAGTTGATCAAATAGGTCATCAATGCATGGCAATAGATACTTATTCTTCACTGTAACCTCTTTCAACTATTGATAATCAATACACATGCGCATAGAACCATCCTTCTTCTTTACGAACAAGACCAGATCTCCCCAAGGTGACACACTAGGCCGAATGAAACCCTTATCAAGCAACTCTTGCAACTGTTTCTTTAACTCCTTCAACTCTGTTGGGGCCATGCGATATGGTGGAATAGAAATGGGCTGAGCCCGGTAACAAATCAATACCAAAATCGATATCCCTATCGGGTGGCATACCCAGAAGATCCGGTGGAAATACATCTGGATAATCCCTCACTACCAAATCTGACCTAACAGTAGGGGTATCAACACTGACATCCCTCACAAAGGCTAGATATGCCTCACACCCTTTCCCAACCATCCGTTGTGCCTTAAGGAAAGACACCACCCTGCTAGAAACATAATCCAAAGTACCCCTCCACTCCAACCACGGTAAACCTGGCATAGCCAACGTTACCGTCTTGGCGTGACAATCAAGAATAGCATGGTAGGGTGACAATCAGTCCATGCCTAAAATAACATCAAAATCTACCATACTAAGCAACAATAGGTTAGTTCTCGTCTCAAAACCACTAAGAACAACTAAACATGACTGATACACACTGTCAACAATAATAGAATCTCCCACTGGCGTGGACATATAGACAAGAGAACTCAAGGAATCATGGGATATACCCAAATATAGAGCAAAGTAAGATGATACATAGGAATAAGTGGAGCCTCGATCAAATAAGACTAATGAATCTCTATGACAAACCGGAACAATACCGCCTCCATCCTAGTAGGAAGAGCATAACATATGGTCTGGCCTCCCCCTCTAGGGCGACCTCTACCCGCTCGACCTCCACCTCTAGCAGGCTGTGTAGGTGGAGTGGCAACTAGTGCGGTAACCACGGCCTGAGAAGCCTGAGGACCCTGTGGAATACGTGGGGCCTGAGTAGTCTGTGGAGGTGCACCCCTCCTGAATCTGGGGCAGTCCCTCACCATGTAACGAGTGTCACCACACTCAAAATAAGATCTCGGAGGATGTGGTTGCTGGAACTGGCTCGGGCCTGGTCGGCTGGACTGACCGCTGAAAGCACCCCATGCAGGAGGTGCACTGGACAGTGGCAGTGCATAATGGGCAACCTGAGACCTGGGAGTGGACGGAATACTGCTGGAAGTTGGAAGTGTTGAATAAATAGGGTGGCTCACATAGCCTCTACCATGAGAGGCTACAACTGGGGCACGAGCACCACTATATGTGCCAGACTCTCGAGACCTCTTGGCCTCCCTCCCGTCTCTCTCCCGACTCCACATACCCTCCATTCTCCTAGCGATCTCCACTACCTGCTGGTATGGGGTATCAGTCTCCAACTCTCTAGCCATGCTGAATCTAATACCAGGGTTGAGCCCCTCGATAAATTGATGAACTCTCTCTCGGACAGTGGAAACTAATGTAGGTACATGTCTGGACAACTCGGTGAACCGAACTGTATACTCCGATACAGTCATAGCACCTAGCGCAACTGCTCAAACTCTACACGCTATGCATCCCTAAGACTCTGGGAACAATCTCCCTCATGAACATATCTAAGAACTGAGCCTTGGTGAGTAAAGCTGCCTCGGCCGGGCTACCGAACTCATACGCTCGCCACTACTGATAAGACGCTCCCTTAAGCTGGAACATTGTGAAAACAACCCCACTCGACTCCACAATTCCCATAGTACAGAAGATACGGTGGCACTCCTCAAGAAAACTTTGTGGGTCCTTTGAGACCAAACCACTGAAAGTAGGAGGGTGGTACTTTTTGTACTTCTCGAGCCTGAACTGTTCCCCCTAAAGAGCTGTTGCCCTAACCTCGGGCTGAACTGGGATAGCCGACTGCACTGGTATGACCTCTGGGACCTGGTCAACCTGGACCCACTGCTCTGGGGTACGGGCAGCGGGAGTCTGTGCTTCTTCTTGGGCTTGAGATGTGGCAGAAGCAAGTAGAATCAACCCTTCCTGAGCTAGAGTGCCAAACATGATCAAAAACTGGGCGAGGGTCTCCTTAAGTGCGGGGAAATAACATGCAACTCAGGTTCCTTCCCCCCAACTGGAGCTACTGGTGGCTCCTCTATAGTAGCTCGGGTAGGTGCTCTGTCAGCACCACGTGCCCCGTCCTCGGCCTCTACCCTTGTCCCGGCCTCTTGCTGCTCTGGCAGGGGGTGTGGGTCCAATTGTGAGTGTCCTCACCATCTGTGAGAGAATAGAAAGATAGAGATTTAGAATTTTGACGTCAACAAATTCGCACGATAAGAAACCAAAGAAGTGAAGCTTTTCCTAACAGTTCCATAGCCTTCCGAAGATACGTACAGACGTCTCCCTACCGACTAAACCTGCTTGTGACTCGTAATACCTATGAACCTAGATCTTTGATACCAACTTGTCACGATCCCAATTTTCCATCGTAGGATGTCGTGATGACACCTAGTCTCTAAGACTAGGTAAGCCTAACAAACGTGCGGAATATAACTGAAATAACAAATAAACTCTCAAATACTCAACAATTTTAATAAAGAAAACTCCACAACTCAGCATATACAATTTTCCCAAAACCTGGTGATACTGAGTCACAAGATCTACAACGGTGTCATATTCATCCCTACACAAATATATCTAATAAAAGAAGAAAGATATAGAAGTAGGTAGAGGGTTACTATGAGGCTTGCGGTCGCCGGCAAGTGTACCTTGAAATCTCCAAGTATGAACTCAACTCACCGGTGTCTAGGCTGGTAGGAGATACCTGGATCTGCACAAAAGATATGCAGAAGCGTAGCATGAGTACACCACAATGGTACCCAGTAAGTTCCAAGCCTAACCTCGGTAGAGTAGTGACGAGGTCAAGTCAAAGCCCAACTGAAATAAATGAGAAACAGAACAAGAAATTTAATAGTGCAATAATAATAACAATGAAAATGAAACAAGTAAGGAATATACCAAAATTTACTACACAGAACTAAGGCCAATAATGCATCATGGAAGAAAACAAGGAATGTTATGCCAAGGAAATAAAACAACCAAACACAAGTGAAGTACTAAAGAAATACCAACAAGAGTCAATACTGAGGTATCGCCTCGTAGTCTCAAATCACAAGAATAATTCACAAGCTTTCCTTATATCACCGCATGAGCCTTGCATTTAGTTTTGAAAATCATTTTTCTGAAATAGCTTACCGTGTTTTATCCCACCTTATCACACTGCGTTGCTTCCCCTACTAGCAACACGCGTATCAGGCCCACCTTATCTCACCGCATGCGTTTCAACCCCAAAACCTTATACCACCGCATGCGTATCAATATCACAATGTATCAAAAATCGCACCTGAAGTGCCCAATATCACAACTTGCCAAGAAACCAAAAACAATAGTATTTTCACAACAAGTAGCCCATGGCTCAACCACAATATGTACAAGAGTATCAAAAATAACAACTATAAGTGAATAACTCAATGAGAATAGTATTTTACAACTTAACACTTTGCCTCAATGTGAATCACGACCCTTATAACTCAATACCAATTTCAACAGCTAGATATTTCAAGAATAACAATTTCAAGTAAAGAATTCATTGGTTTAAATAATGAATATGGAATAAAGGGAGCAAGAACTTTGACTAAACATGTTGAGCAATTAACAAGTAAGAGATAAGACAAGTAGAGCATGTGAAAATAGACTAATGATGATGAATATAACATGATAAGATAACTCAATTAAGGAATGCGAGGAAACTACATAGCTAAACCGATAAATTTCCACGTCTATCCCGTGTACACACTCATCACCTTGCGTATACGACTTTCACATATCATAATTATCACAAATCAACACCAAACCCCACACAAAGTGAGGCAAAATACTTACCTCAAAATACGCTAACTCAATCTACTAGTAAGCCTTTCCCTTAATTATTCAACTCCGAACAACTCGAATCTAGCCAAAACAATATCATACCATAAATATAAACTATTTGGAACTATTTTGAACAATAAAATTACGATCTTTACAAAGAAATAAAAAGTCAACCCGGGCCCGTGCCTCGGAACCCGATCAAAATTACAAAATCCGAATACCCATCCAATAACGAGTCCAACCATATAAGAATTACTCAAATCCGAACTCAAATCACCTTACAAATACCCAAAATTTAGCCTAAGGAGTTTCACAAATATTTCCCCAAATTTTAAACTCAAAACGCTAATTAAATGATGAAAACAATAATAGATTCATGTAATATAGCCAAAATCGAGTTAGTATTTCTTACACCAATGATTTCCTTGAAAATCTCTCGAAAAATCGCAACAAACCTAGCTCTCTAGGTACAAAAATGAAAATAAGATCAAACCCTCAAAATTAGGTCTTTTCTGCCCAGCGATTTTGCTTTTGCGGGCCTTTTGTCGCATCTGCAATGCCGTAATAGCGAAAAATACATTGCAGGTGCGGTTCCCACTAAGGTTAGGGGAATCCGCTTCTGCGGACAAGAATTGTGTACCTGCGAATGCGTGCGTGCGGAATATTTCTGCTTCTGCGATGCCAGGGCCGGCTATCCCCTTTCGCTTCTCCGGTGCTTCCCTCGCACCAGCGATATCACTCCCTAGCGTATTGTCTGCACCTGCGGACGTAGCTAGCCTAACCAACTATTGATTCTATGGCTCAAGGGACGCTCCTGCGGCCCCGCACATGCGACCTAAAATGCGCAGGTGCGATTGCACAAGAAGCAATAGTGATTCAGCAATGCACCAAGTCCAAACTTGATCCAGATTCAATCCGAATCATACCCGGGCCCCTGGGACCCCGTCCGAATATACCAACAAGTTTTAAAACACATAACGGACCTACTCAAGGCCAAAAATCACATCCATCAACATCGATTATACGAATCGCAACCCAATTCAAGCCTATTGAAACTATAAACTTTCGAGTTTCAAAACTAATGCCGATTTATACCAAAATAACTACGATTGACTTCAAATTTTGCACACAAGTGATAAATGAAATGACATACCTATTCCAACTTTAGAAATTGGATTTCGACCCCAATATCAATAAAGTCAACTCTCGGTCAAACTTTCCAACCTTCCAAACCTTTAACTTTCTAACTTTTGCCAATTGACGCCGAACCGACCTACAAACCCCCAAATTAATATTCGGTCGCGCTTCTAAGTTCAAAATCACCATACACAGCTATTGGAATAGTCAAAACTCTATTTCGGTGTCATCTACAAAAAAGTGAAACTACGATCAACTCTTTCAACTTAAAGGTCCATACTGGATTTATGGAGAAGATCTTTCCATTCACTTATTTAGGTTGTCCTATATATATGGAAAAAAAAGAAGTTATATTACTTTATGACATGGTTACCAAAGTGGTCAAGAGACTCGGTTGATGGCAAGGTAAGATACTTACATATGGAGGTAGAGTTGTGCTATTAAAAGTGTAATGCAATCTATTCCTACTTATACCCTTAGTGCAATCACCCCCCCCCTCTCCCCAAAAAAAAAACCACTCTGAACTTACTTAAAAGACACTTTGCCATGTTCTTTCGGGGAACAAATGAGGACAAAAGCAAATATCACTAGAGTTCTTGGAAAAATCTATGTCTTCCAAAAGATGAAGGTGGTATAGACATTAGAAGCATAAAAGATATATCCACTACCTTAGCTATAAAAAGATGGGTGGAGACTTAGAACTCAAGATTCTTTGTGGTCAAAATTTATGCAAGCAAAATATTGTCAAAGAGTCTATCCAGTTGCTAAGATAGGGACTTCTAACTGTTCACAGGCCTAGAGACAGCTTATGACTGTACGAGATCAAGCTGAGAACAATATGATACGGAAAATTAACGGAGGAGATTGCAGTTTTTGGTGGGATAACTGGTCAGAAAGAGGTGCTTTAGCTAAAATAGTCTCCGGTTCTACTAGAAGCTCAAAGGTTAAAGTGACAGACTACATCTGGGATGGAATATGGAATCTGGACAAATTTAGAAGCTTAATGTTTGAACATCTAGTGCAATAGATTAACAATATTGACATAGGATACTAAAATCAAGATGATTATGCAATATGGAATGCAGCTCAAGATGGACAATTCACAAACAAGTCTGCTTGGCAAAGCATTAGATCTTCTAAACAAAAAAGCCTCGAGCTAAGCAATGTATGACATAAATTTATTCCTTTTAAAATGTCTTTCTTGGTCTGGAGGTTGTATCAAAGAAAATTACCTTTTGATGAGATAATAATAATATTTGGGAACCAATTGGTATCTAGATGCACTTGTTGTCTAAGACCAAAATATGAAATCATGCATTATGTATTTGTTGAAGGAGAAGTTGCTTGTCATACTTGGCGAAAATTAGGAGCTCCTTTGGGAATTAGGCATCAGACATGGCCTATAAGGAGAGTTCTAAAGGAATGGAGGGAAGTCAAACCTATGAATAACATTTACAAAATGCTTATACACATTGTACCAATATGCATATGTTGAAAAATTTGGAAATGTTGGACTGCTTGAAAATTTGGAGATCAAAAGAAGATGATATTTTCTAAAATAGAGCTATAGGTTTACTGGAGTGTTAAAGTTTCTTTGAATATTGCTTTCTGAAAATGTAAAATAGAAGGTACTTGATTGTAGATGTGTGATACCATTTAAAGGATGAAACATATGGTTCTATGGAGGCAAGTGACGTGGATCAAGTCAGATGCTAATAGAGTCAAAATCAATACAGATGATAGTTTCTTGAGTAAGAATAGTAAAGGAGGAATTGGTGGCACAAATCAAAACTCAATGTTGCTACAACAAGCAAGCTGAAGCACTTGCAGTAATGTATGGTGTGAGATGGTGCACTCAGAATGGGTTCAACAGATATGACTTGAATAATCATCACCAACATGATTAGAAATAGAGACACCAACAATCTAAAGCGGAGTAAGATGATTAGAAACATTCCTTAAATGATTGAAATGGCAGATGTACAAATTCTTCATTGTTTCAGGGAAGCCAATCAAGTGGCTGACTACTTGGCTAAATTAGCATCGTCAAGTGAGCATAGTACTTTCTATACCTCTTTTAACCAATTACCTAAAGAGGCAAAAGGAACATTTCAACTAGATAGATGGCAACTTCCTAGCATTAGAAGAAGATATGACACGACTAATTTTTTTGTTAGTTGAGTATTATAAGCTTGTTGTAACGACCCAAAACTTGACCTGTCATGATGGAGCTTATCGTAGTACTAGGCAAGCCGACATCTCACACATACCAACATTTTTAAAACTCAAATATGCAGAAGAAAGTTTAAATAATTAAGGATTTCCCAAAGTACCGGATGTGAACCTCGAAACTCAATATAAAATCCTCCCAAAAGATCGGGTTCTCACGGAGTACACGAGCATTCTACATATATAACAACATAGTCTGGTACACTGTCTGAAAAGTAAGACAAAATACATAAAACCAAAAGATAAGGAAAAGAGTATCAAGGTTTGCAGACGTCAAGAAACTACCTCGATGATCTTCAAACAGGTACACTCCACAATCAAAGACCACCGTGCTTGAAAATTCCTGAATCTGCACATGAGGTGCATGGTATAGTGTGAGTACAACCAACTCAATAAGTATCGCAAATAAATAAGGCAAGTAAGAGAAACTTAATTGTTGAAGTTACTAGTTAAATCAGTACAATTCCATCCTTTTTAATTAACAAGATGTGAGTTTTAAAGCTAGCCCATAAGGCTTCGTGATACGAATATCCGTGTGTGCATGTGCACTAGTTCTCCGCTGCCCTTCTCAACAGTATTATGGCATATAGGGGGAGAGAAAAGAAGTAAGTCAGATAAATGATCAAGGAAATAAAATTTTCACACACTGCACGAACAACTCACGTGTTGTATGGACAACTCACGTGCTAATAATAGAATCTACACGGATAACTCACGTGTGACACGGACAACTCATGTGTCAATAATAATAATATATGGATCCGCACAGACAACTCACGTATTGCACGGATAACTCACGTGCCAATAATATCAATATATAGACCCGCATGGACAACTCACGTTCCAATAACATAATTCGTTCGGCATAGCCGCAGGCCCTAGTCCAAATTATCATACAGAAGCCATAAAGCAAGTGTACAGGTATATCATGAATGAAATAAGATTCCCCTATCCCTGGACTGGTGTAATAACATGCTAAAGTGTCGGCATGTGCAAAGTGTTCTATCGTAGCTAAATCCGAAAAACTTCATCAATAAAAAATATTTATCAAGTTCGTTCAGGGGTTAATTCTCTGATCAGACTCATCATGGATCAATTAGATCACATAAACTGTTATCACATACTAGATATCAAAGCTCGAAGCTTAACAGTCATTTCTAGGCTTATAGGAGCACGAGCACAACCCAAACATGAATATACAACCCCGATGCCCTGCACATGGAATCATCCCCACACATGTGCGCACCCAAAAGCACGTGGCAATCACAACAAATCAGGCAACTGGTGCCTCAACCGAGTTTAAATATGATACTTACCTCAAGCAACTCGAATCACTCCGCTAGCAATCCCTTGCCTCGCGAATCGGCCTCTGAACGTCTTGAATCTAGCCATAAGAAATTTGATACAATCAACACGAGCTAAAGGAATCAATTCCATATGTAAATATCAAGTTCTTAACCAAAAGACAAAAAGTCACTCTAAAGCTGGACCCGGGCCTACGTCTAGAAATCTGATAAAAGTCACAAAATCTGGAAGCCCGTTCAACCTCGAGTCCAACCATACCAAATTTACCAAAATATAACACCAAATCGACACCCAAATCTCAAATTTAAACTCTCCAAATCCCTAGCCTCAAACCCCCATATTACACCTTAAAACTACACAATCTAGGTGGGGGAAGCATAATTATTGGGCAAAATAAACCACAAGTGACTTACCTCAAGAATCCATTCAAACTCCCTCTCAAAAACGTCTAATCTCGAGCTTGAAATGTTTTAAAATGGTGAAAAATCTCGGAATCCTTATTTATAAGACACTGCCAAGGCTTTTCGCACCCGCGACCAAATAACCGCACCTGCGAAATCGCTTTTGAGGTAAAATCCTCCGTTTCTGTAGAAATCACTTAAACCCCATGGCCCGTATCTGCACTCCAGGTCCCGCACATGCGGAGGCGCTTCTGCGACCCACCATCCGCTTTAGCGGAAACAGACCTCGCCCCCTTAACTCCGCATCTATGGAGCCATGCTTGCACATGCGGGCTCGCACATGTGGTTACCCCCTTACACTTGCGACCTTCGCCAGGTCAGCCCAGATCCGCACCTATACAAATCTAGCCGCATCTGCGGCATCGCAGGTGCGAAAAATCACCTCACACCTGCGACCTCTGCCCATTTTTGTTATACTTTATGTTTTCGTACATGAGAGTACAATGTAAGTCAATTGATGTAAGCTCGGAAATGAGATTCTCTTTGAAAGTATATAAAGTGATCTAATGATATTACATCCCGTATTTCCGTTCAACATACAAACGACTAGGTTGAGGACTAATGCACTTAAACGTGAGAAAGGAGATTTTTGACAAATAATAACGAGCTGCTTGCTTACCCGACGTGCCTGCTTCACTAACTTACTTTCCGTCCTACTTG